AAAAAAATTACAATAATTCTTACATGAACTTTAGGAACTGTAACTTACAAACAAATAAACTTCTTTTACTAAATAACAATGTAAACAAACAAAGTAAACTTAATATTAAGTATTACACTTGAACTTAAATGAATAAAATTATTACAACGAATCTTAGCCATATATTTACTGTTCAATTACAGTCGACATATTAAAAAAAATGTAATTAAACCTATCACTATGCATACTGAAAGTTTTAAACCTTGAGATTTAACTTATAGTCTATACATGACACATTATGAAACTAACAACTAAAACAAAACAAAACAAAACATTTCAATTATGAGTAATAGGTACAACAAACTAATTTCCCTCATTGACTGGCAGAACACAGAGCTTTGATGTAGGACGCTTCAGTAAACCCTTACTAGTGCGTAAAGTAACCACACGGGTGATGCCATCGTCACCCGGGTGTTTCTCCACTATGGTACCCAGAAACCAACAAGCAGGCGGCATATCAAATTCCTTAACTAGAACTATATCACCGATCTGAGGCTCAGGAGTCTTATGCGACCACTTATATCTATGAACTAAATTGCTAATGTATTCTACGGACCAGCGTTTCCAAAATGCTTGGACCATTTTTTGTATATACTGCCAACGAGATAAAGAACTGATACTAGAATTTTCATAGTTCGCATCTGGAACAGTGACAAGTGGTTCACCGATTAAAAAATGACCAGGGCTCAATGGCATAGGTTCATGAATGTCTTCCCCATTGATTACAGTCATCGGCCTAGAATTAAGACAAGCCTCTATTTGGCTCAACAACGTGCTCATCTCCTCATAAGTGAGTGTTGAGTTACCTATGACGCGTTTTAAATGAAATTTGGTCGACTTCACTGCAGATTCCCACAGTCCACCGAAATTTGGAGTATGTGGTGGTATGAAATGCCACGTAGTGTTACGATCTTCTAAGGTCTTTGCAATCTCTTGTTGAATCGCTGATAACTCACGAAGTTCCTTAGCCGCACCCACAAAATTAGTGCCGTTATCGCTCCAGATATTTGAACAATGACCACGTCTGGACACAAAACGACGAAAGGCTGCTAAAAATCCCTGAGTGGTCATGTCACTTACTAATTCTAGGTGTATGGCTTTAGTGGCCATACAGACAAACACACTAATGTAACCCTTATGGGCACGATGACCTCTTCCCTTCGTTGTCCTAATTTGAACAGGGCCTGCATAATCCACGCCGCTATTCAAAAACGGTCGCGATGGTGTGCAGCGTGATGGTGGAAGTGATCCCATAAATTGATTATAAACCTTAGCTTTATTTTTGACACAAATGACACATTTACGTACATATTCCTTTGTAAGCTTTTTTACACCTAATATCCAATAAGCAGATCTCAGATAGTTAATCATTATCTGAGGCCCACCATGTAAAGTCCGATCGTGTGCGTCTGCGATCAACAACTTAGTAAAATGTGTATTATGTGGTATAACTATTGGATGTTTTTCGTTATCAGACAACGATGCATGATGTAACCTACCGCCAACTCGTATTATATCGTCCTTGTCTAGAAAAGGACACAATGAACTAATATTACTTATTTTATTAACAGGTGAATTATTTTTCAACTGTGTGTATTCTACTTCGAAGTCGACTCTTTGACATTTCCTTATACAACACTTTAATGCTTCATCTAGGTCTGACCGTTTTATATACTTGGGTATATCTCTACACTTGACATAATGATAAAAGAAACTTCTACATAACGCTACTACTCTTAATAATTTTCTTAACGAACTATATCTTTCCCATTGTAAGGTGTCGTGTTTTAAAGCTATATAGGACTTAATATTCTCTTCCATGTTAATATCTATATTCAATAGTCTATTGTACTCTATATTTTCATTATATAAAAATTGTGGTCCGTGAAACCATATAGTATTTTCAGGTAATAGTGACGGTAAAACTCCTCTTGACGCACAATCTGCGGGATTCTCCTTCGTAGAAACATGTGCCCATTGATCTGCGTCTAATGTGGTTAAGATCTCCGCGACCCTATTACTAACAAAGGTTTTCCATCGGCTTGGGTGGCTATTAAGCCATGCCAAAACGACTGTAGAGTCAGTCCAGGCGTGCACCTTGTCCTTGTCAATATTCATAGCCCTCGCCACATCGATCAACAACCGTGCCAAAAGTACTGCTGCGCATAGCTCTAGACGAGGGATACTAACTGTTCTTATAGGGGCGACCTTTGTTTTCGCCATTAGAAGAGTGACTTGTATATTTCCTGAAGAGTCCACACAACGAGTATACACAACTGCTGCGTAAGCAGCCTTTGATGCATCGCTGAATCCATGCAACTCTATGACTGAGCTATTTGATGTTCCTAACCATCTCGGAACATAGACTTTGGATAGATTTTCCAAGTCTTTACGGTAAGTTATCCATTCTTCTTTTAATTTTTCTGGTACATGATCATCCCATCCTACTCCTGCTAGCCACAATTTCTGTATCAATATTTTAGCTAGTATTATACTGGGCGCTATCCAGCCTAAAGGGTCAAATAAGCGTGCGATATCCGATATAATAATGCGTTTACTTAATGTTTCAGATGCTGAAGGGAGCTGCACCGTGTACTTGAACTGATCTGCACTACGACACCAGGTAAGTCCTAATATTTTTGTACTATCACTTAATATTTCCTTTTCGTCCTTACTTTCATATGACTCGATTTCCCCTAATAATTCCGAACTGTTGCTGTTCCATTTTTGTAGTTCAAATCCTGCTTTTGCTAATAATGCTTTCATTTCCAAATACAATTTTTTACCTTCTTCTATTGTGGAACATCCTGTCATTAAATCATCCATATAAAAGCTTGTTGGCACTATTTCAGATGCCGTGGGGAATTCTTGCACATAGTCTAACGCGACCTGGTGCAATGTCTTAACCGCCAAATAAGGTGCTGAAGCTGTACCAAAGGTTACAGTTAATAGCTCATACTCTTGCATTTCTTCATGTGGCTCTTTTCGCCAAACTATTCTCTGATATTTTACATCGTTTTCTGCTACTCTCACTTGTCGGTACATTTTTATTATGTCTGCAGTAATTGCTATTTGGTGAACTCTCCAGCGAATGACGATATGCCGCAAATCCGACTGCAAGGTAGGTCCCACCATCAACATGTCGTTAAGTGACACTCCCCTTTCATTCTTGCAGGATGCGTCGAACACTACGCGTACCTTCGATGTGGATTTATCTTCTCTGACAACTGCGTGATGAGGTAAGTAAGCTGCTTCATTGAACTTTGTGTCTGGTTTCTGTACTTTT